GTTCTGCCCTGGCCTATCACATTACCTATATCCTCCAATCACGCCTTCACTGTCACAATATTTTACTTGCCTAATAAAATGTGGTGGGTGCCCTTTTTTGCGGCTTTCATGAGAATGTTCTCAAATATAGGGCTCCATCCCAAAGCCTGTCATTTGCAAGTATACATTCCTATGGGCTGTATAAGAATTCATCTACCATTGGACATTTAGAATAATTTTGGATTGGCGATGGAAGTTTATCACAATAATTTGATAAAACTTTATGCCATTAAAGTTCACGCCCTAAAGGGAATCTCTTACCCTGGACGATCTCGTCTAAGAGTTTTAGTAACACCAAGCGAATTAGAAACCTACACATCAGTTTGGCAGTGGTAACGCGCCGATCAGTACGCACGACACCTGGTTGGAATAGCTCCTACCATACCATGCCGTTCATGACAAAGATTCCTGCAGACACGTTTGTCGGCAATATCTAGCTCAGCACCACTTCTCCGCGCTTCTATAGCAGCATTCTGCTTTGCGAAAAATCCTGACACTATCGAAAAATGGAGGCCCTACCGGGCAAGGTCGTTCTGCGGTCACCGCAAGCGGCTTACATCGCGCTACTCCTCCGTACCTGGCCTCCTTGTGGACTGCTTCTCCGTCTGCGTAAGGTAAATTCGACTAAATATCAACGTACGAAGAGCGAGCCCTCAACCAAAGCCAAAATGTGAGAAGTCTAACTGCGCACGATTAGGTCTGCATCTGGATAAATTTATTTGTCACCCAACAACTAGGTGACCTTGATCGGACTTATTCCAAATCAAGACTAAGTCTATGCATTGTGATTTTGTCATCTGATTATGGCGCCTCTTACGAATAGCTTAGCCTATGCGGCCGACCGACTAGGTTGCACGGCTACTTTCATAATCTCTTGAGCGTCCACTAATCACTCCTAAGCATTACAATATTATTACCACTACCACCACAGCTTTCGAAAATGTAAAATCTCTGTATCATATTTTTTTCGTTCTTTATCTTAACAATAGGTCTCAGATTGAGTCTCCTGTGCCATGCGTCCAGAGTTCAGAACATAATCTAACGGATATACGATGTTCAGTCACTGTTTCTGTTTAGATCACTTATCTTCCAATAATTTATCAAGAGTAATTTAACGGACACAGAAAATAAGCAAGCAAATCTGACAAATAATCTGGCTGTGTGGTTTAATGTACAAAAGCTGGTTAAAATCAAAGATGAAAGTTAGTACAGCAATAATAACTGGATAAAGACTTCAGGTGAAAAATTTGCAACACCAGAGGCAATGGACTGAAATAAAATATCCAGGAAGCGTACTTGCTCGAAATTTAGGCATGGCGCAATCAAGGATGAATGTATTGAACTATCGTCGTTTTGTTCCTCCGAAGCCTTTGTAGCAGGTTAAGACATAAGCAGTGTTGGGAAAAAGAAATTGAGGAAATTTTTAGTCATCTATGGGCAAAATTAGTGTATTTATCTAAGGTTCTTACAATGAAATAGATTAAAGGTACCATGACAACATTGAATATCATTAAGCTTCATGTTCTACTATTTGGGGTTGATTGAACTTTCGGCCTTGTGTTGTCTCAGTATAACAAAGGATTCATGTGGTCTGTTAAACCAATGTAATATTTAATGAGAGAAATAAGAATAGATGTGCAAGCCACAGAACTATGAATGATTGATACACTTACTAATGCAA